CAGAAAAACACATCTTCTTATAGAACTCTATACTACCAGAAATTGAAAGATATACTCATTCTTACACCAAAAGAAGTATGGTGGAGAAGGAAACATGAAAAACAAATAGCATTGCATCATCATAAAAGGAAACAAACGGGAACTCAACAGCTACACGTTCATAAACCTTTATAACCAACAAAACAGGAGTAAGCTCCAGTGGAGAATGCATTTTGTTGCACTAATAAATTAACGTTAGGTGTTGCCATATCTGTCCCGCTTATTCTGCTCTTTAGTATTAATAAAGTTAAATCATACATTTTTATTTGGAGTATGAAATGTAACATAAAAATGCAGATGGCTCAAGTTGCAGCAAGAATCACAAAGTAGCAAGGACTAGCCAAAGTTTTTCACTCAGCATACGCATTGAAAGCCTTGCATGCTTAAATGGACAAGTATAAAAGAAGAATAGATACCTTTTTTTTCCCTTTCTGTAGAATACAGCATAACCGTCAAAAGACACAATTGCATTAATCATCATGGCTAACAATCAGTGCGGGTACTAGGAGAAAAAAGATACTACATCGTCGCCAATCTTGCGAGGTTGTAAATTCCAAAGAAAAGAGACTACACCAAATATACACTCCAGCAGTTGCATTAATGAAAAGGAGACATGAAGTGAGGATTTACTAATGCCGATAGAAGTAGCCCATTTGATTTATTATCGTGCATCGAGGTGGTTCAGAGAGAAGAGAGATGGTGGATGGGTGAAGACTTAGACGTAGCCACCATTGACGCGAATGATCTGACCATTAACCCACTCCCCAGCATCAGTAGCCAGGAATCCCACCAGCCGAGCCACGTCCTCTGTTTCGCCCAGTCTACCGAGCGGGCTCTCGTTCACAACCCTCTTGATCATCTCTTCTGTCATCCCAGCAAAGAACATGTCCGTGGCGATAGGCCCCGGGGCCACGCAGTTGGCGGTTATACCGGTTCCCTTGAGCTCCTTGGCCAGTATCTTGACCATGGACTCCACAGCGGCTTTGGACCCCACATAGGCAGCGAAGCCGGGCCTCAAGTCGGCCACCAAGGAGGTGGTCAAGCAGATGATCCTCCCTCCGCCGCCGCGCTTGATCCTGTTGGCAGCCTCCCTGCAGCACAAGAAGGCCCCCCTGGCGTTAACGTTGAAGATGTTGTCGAAATCTTCCAGGGCGGTGTTGGCCAGGGTTGGGTGCTTGGAGTCGAGTACACCAGCGGAATTGACGAGGATATGAACAGGGGAGGAGTTGAAGGCGGACTTGGCGGAGTCGAAGAGGGACCTGACCTGGGCTGGGTCGGAAATATCGGCTCTGACGGTTATGGCGCGTGAAGCAGAAGCAGAATTGATTTGGGAGGCTACGAGGTCGGCTTGAGCTGGGTTGGAGGAGTAGTTGATCACGAGGTTGGCTCCGAGAGAGGCAAGATGGAGGGCTATGGCCCGCCCAATTCCCCTGGAGCCGCCGGTGACGACGGCTACTCGGTCTTTGAGAGGGAGGGGGATGGAATCAGCCATGCTGCCGCCTGATCCTGACTCCCACTAACTGCTAAGTTGAAGTAGCGAAAATGGATTGGATGTCTTTGGTTTGATTTGGGGATTATTTATAGCTGGGGATAATTGCAGAAACCTCCCCTGAGATTTTTGACATTTTCACTGACCTCCCCTCTAGGTTTAGAAATTACATTCACCTCCCCTAAACACTAACAATTCGTTGCAGAAGCCTCCCTGACAGCTTTGTAGAAATGAGATAAGAAATTTCTTTCAATTTTGCCCTCTTCTTGCTTGACAATTATTATTTGCTTGACAATTGCTTAACTAATTATCTAATTAGTTAATAGTTAAACTAATTAACTATTAACTAATTATCTGATTAATTATTAACTAATTATCTAATTAATTAACTAATTAACTAATTTTTATTTATCTAATTAACTGCTTAACTAATTAACTAAATCTGTTGTCTGTCCGAAACTAACAAACTATTTGCATGTTAAACTAATTAACTAATTAATTGCTTAACTAATCAACTAATTAACTAACTAACTAATTAACAGACCATTTGCATGTTAAACTATATGCAGTACGCATTACCTATTTAAAGTATCGGTTCTTTATAGGTATTTTACTTTCAAACATTTAATTTATGATAAAAACATCAATGTTTGTAAGTAAAATTCAAAAAGTGTTACAGTAATATTCTTACAAAAAGGAAGGGGCATAGGGCCATAAATTAAATGTTTGAAAGTAAGAATATTGATATTTTTTGTAACACTTTTTGAATTTTACTTACAAACATTGATATTTTCATCATAAATTAAATGTTTGAAAGTAAAATACCTATAAAGAGCCGATACTTTAAATAGGTAATGCGTACTGCATATAATTTAACATGCAAATAGTTTGTTAATTAGTTAGTTAGTTAATTAGTTTAACATGCAAATAGTTTATTAGTTTCGGATAGACAACAGCTTTAGTTAATTAGTTAATTAGCTAATTAGATAAATAGAAATTAATTAATTAATTAATTAGATAATTAGTTTTTTTGTCAAACAATTAGATATTTAGTTAGTTAATTAGTTAATTAGTTTAACATGCAAATAGTTCGTTAGTTTCAGTCTTTCAGACAGACAACAGCTTTAATTAATTAGTTAAACAGTTAATTAGTTTAACATGCAAATAGTTTGTTATTTTCGGATAGACAATAACTTTAGTTAATTAGTTAATTAGATAAACAAAAATTAGTTAATTAATTAATTGGATAATTAGGTAGTTAATTAGTTAAGCAGCTAATTAGTTAATCAGTTTAACATGTAAATAGTTTGTTAGTTTAGGATAGACAACAACTTTAGTTAATAAATTAATTAGTTAAGCAGTTAATTAGTTAATTAGTTTAACATACAAATAGTTTGTTAGTTTCGGATAAACAACAACTTTAGTTAATTAGATAATTAGGTAGTTAATTAGTTAAGCAGCTAATTAGTTAATTAGTTTAACACGCAAATAATTTATTAGTTTCGGACAGATAATAGCTTTTGTTAATTAGTTATTTAGATAATTAATTAATTAGTTAATTAGATAAATAGAGATTAATTAATTAGATAAACAGAAATTTGTTAATTAGTTAATAGTTAATTAGATAATTAGTTAATAGTTAATTAGTTTAATTATGCAAAAATAGTTTGATTAGTTAATAACTATTAACAATTAGATAATTAGTTATTAATTAATTAGATTAATTAGTTAATGGGAAAATGACCAATTTAGTCCCTATACTTTTTTTTACTGTCAATTTAGTCCTTATATAATTTTTTTGGCCAATTTAAACCCTACACTTATTTATCGGTTCCAATTAAGGATCTCCGCGGCGGCGCCACCTTGTAATTGCGGTTCAACATCTAATTGACCACTTATGCGGGGGCATTTCTGGTACTTCACTGTTGGGGCTCTTCTTCAGAATTAAAAATCAAAATCAAAAAGTTACCGGTGTAATTTTTATCACCACTGAAGATAAAGGTCAGTGACTCTGGAGATGTGATCTGGTCGGTGGCGCTGGACGAAATCACTGCAGCGAAATGCATCCAAGTAGGAATTGGGACAAAGCATCCTCAAGGTCAAGCTCACGAAGTAGTGATGGAGTACTGAAGAGCGTCGGTGTCGGGTTTCATGGTGCAGACAGTGAAAGGCTGATTTATGAAGGAAATGATGAATATTATAATGGAGACAAAATGGTGCAATGCCACTGCCGTGAACAATGCAGAATCGTGACAGCATGGACGGAGGCAAACCCAGCAAGAAGATTTCATGGTTGCAGAAATCATGGGGTAATTTTGTGTGCTAAATGTTAGATTTTGTTGAGTTATTGCTTGAATTTTGACTATAAAATATATGTGAATGCAGAAACGTGGGCTTGTAAATTTTTTTTGTGGTATGATCCACTCATATCCCCAAAAATGAAGAACACACTAGCTGCAATTTTGAGGGAACTGAGAAGTACCGAGAGGGAGAATGTAGCATTGAAGATTGAAATCAGCAAATTGAAGGCAAAAGTGAAAGTATTGTTCTTGGCTTGTACTTGTTGCTGCATTTTAGTTGTTGCTATACTCGGGTGCACTCAAAAGCAAAATGGTAGCTTCAGTGAATTGAAGATGTTGCAGTAGTTCTAGACATTGTATGAAAGTTCATTATTCTTGCTCTGTTTGACCATGTAATGCTGCCCTCTTGGAATGAAGTAATTGCAGAGGTTTCGTATAATAGTTTTGGATATGAATTGTTATGGATTTGTAATAGTTTTGAGTTCCTAGTTGTATGTTTACAAATTTGGGGTTGAATATCAAAGAGAGCAGCTTTCTTCAGTCTTTAGTGAGTTTTCGGTGATGTACTCAGAAATCGAACTGTGGCCTGTGACTTGTTACTACACACAGTATGAACTGTGACTTGACTCTGTCTTCCCTTATCCCTACATCAATCTACATGTTCATTCCTAGTTCCAAACACTGCATCTTAAATGGAGCTAATGCCATCAGTTCCTTTCCTAAATCTACCAATATATACTCTGTCCAAATTGAGCAATCAACGAATCAATTCCAATCCTTCAGCTAGGCAGGGGAAAATTTTCTGATCATGCAATAGACATTCAGATGAGCTAAAAACTTAGCCCCCAGACAAGTGCAAAAAGCCCCCAGCAAATCTTAAAGATGAAATAGGGCACCTGCAACCTTCACGAGTTGGGAACAATAGTTCACTAGTCTTCAATCACCAAATAAACAAAAGACAACACCAGTAGCACATATGCTACAGAATCAATTTTTCCAAAAATCATACTACTAATCAACATCTCAAATGTTAGAACTGATCCATCAGATTAGAATCAACATCACAACACATAGGAGAATATCCAGAATCCAGAATTCATTAGATTAGCAGTTTTAACAGCAAAAAACATTCAATAGCTCGATTCATTACAAAAGAAAGTGAATCCCATGACATAAAGGTCTTCCAGCAACTTCATCAACAAAAAAACAATAAGCCAGCTTCATCTAGCAACTTCATCAACCCAAAAATAGTCAATTCAAAAACAACTTCATCAACAACGTCATTATCTAAATATTATCATTTTCACTGATCATCCAACTCATCGAGTATCCTATGAGACTGCAAATACATACATAGTGAGAATCTCCAAGAGTAAATTAAAATCAATAATTTATATACGATTTTGTGGCCCCAAAAAAGTTACCTTTTCTTTTCTTCTTTTCACAGTACTCATCCTGTTTCTTCATGCTTGTGCTTGGCAGCAAGTGCAAGTTCTTTTGGACTGGCTCGAGGCATGACAATAAAAATAACACATTGTCCTTTTGAGTTTCTGAGAGCTTTCAGTTGGAGCAGTAAGTTGAACATCAATTTCTTCAGAAACTTGATCAACTTGCATTATAAAAACATGACAAATATCAGATGTGTTCATCAAACAGTAAACAGGATTTGAGCAACAATTAGAGTAGTAGTTAAAAAACTTAAAATGTAGCAACATATCAGATGTGTTTCAGATTCTTACAATGTAGGAGAGTCTTGAAATGTCTCATCACAGTCTTGAAATGTCTCATTACAGTCCTCAAATGTCTCATTACCATCCACAGAAGGAGCTGTAACAATTAAAACAGATTAGCAGCCGCTAGATAAAATAGTGCAACATGAAAGAAAATATGAGTTCAGTCATATCAGTTTCACCGACAGTTCCGTCTTTTCCTTTGACATCCAATGGACAAGTTCTTGCATTGTGTCCAAATTTCTTACATTTTCCACACCTATTACTATTCACAGGTGGTATTCTTTCATTGCTATCCACTCCTTCCATGTTGAGGTAGCATTTTCTTTTAGTGTGGCCCTTTTGATGACAAAGAGAGCAAGTCATACATGTAGCACCCTTTCTAGACAGTCTTGTGCATCCAGCCATATCATTTCGTGGCTCATCCGGCTCTCTCCTCCTTACTTTCTTAGGCCTACCGGGAAGTTTTAGTTTCTTAGGTGCATACATAGGGGCTCTCTTACATTTTTCCAGTTATTAGGTCCATTAATTGGACTAATAGCTGGCTCGTAAGCCTTTAGATATGAATCTCTTGAGTAATATGGATGCACTAGACTTTCAAACTCGGCTCCGGTCAAAGCAATGCAGCCTATAGCATGAGAACACGGTAAACCAGTGAGTTCCCATTTTCTACATGTACATGTCTTCGCCTTTAAGTTAACAACAAACTTGGCCCCATACATATGTGTCACCTCAAATCTGTCATCATTAGACTACCTGGCAATATTTGATCTAGCATCATCCTTTGCCTTTTCAATTTTTTTTGAACTTTTGGACAAATAATATCACTTCTTTTTCTCATCCATTCCCTCTTTGTCCTAAGTTTTTCTATTAGATATATCCTAATGTTTTCAAGCATACCAAGGATGGGTTTTTCTCTTGCATCTAATATAACAGAATTAAATCTCTCACACACATTATTGAAAAGAATATCACATTTAGCCGTGATCCTAAAATGTGATCTGGACCAATGGCATTGCGATGTGTTGTCCACTAGCCATTTGTGTGCTTTCTCATCATACTGTCTCAACATATCCATTTCAGTTTCAAATTTATTGACATACGAGGATCTTGCACAAGTCCAAAACATACCCTTGAGTGTTTCTCCAGGATGGACCTTTTTGAAATTGTTGTGTAAATGCCTAACACAGTGTCTATGCTCCACTCCAGGAAGAATATCTTGGATGGTAGAACCCAAACCCTATTATATAAAACAACAAAAAAATTCAGAAATCAGTCATTTCAATAAAGTAGTTTTCCAACAAAAAATCAGTTTCAAATTTCTATATTACTTAGCCATACCTTTTGCCTATGACTGATAAATGTCCATTGTCTCTGGTCTTGGATTATGAGATCAAACTTTAAGAATTCAATGAACCATGTCCAAGAACTCTTGTTCTCGGTCTCAACCACTGCATATGCAACAGGATAGATGCAATCATTAGCATCTATCCCTACAGCTGTCAAAAGCACTCCCGGATGTGGTCATCTTAGATGGCACCCATCCACACCAAGTACAGGTCGACATCCTTCTTTAAAACCTTTTTTCAAGGCTGCAAAACAAATGTATAGTCTTCTGAATCTCTCTTTTCCGCTAAATTCATCAGTCTCCGTCTCTACATGCACTGTGGAACCAGGATTTGAGCTCAACAATTCCTCACAATAGTCCCAAATTCTTGTGTATTGCTGCTTATATTTTCCTTGGATCAGAATTTTGGCTTTCCCAAAAGTCTTATAAGCCTGATCTTTTGTGATGTTCACATTCAGTTCTTCATGCACCTTGTCCTTAAATGCACAAACCGTAACTTTTTTATTCATTCGCAGAAACTCCATGTAATGCCTAGCCAAAAAATCAGAATTTGCATGCTTGTGATAGAAAGTTCTACCACATTGATGTTGTGGCCCCATCGTTCTTATCACGAATGCATCACAATCTGGTTCTTTTGTAGGATAAACAAACCAGTTGCATTTCTCTTTCTTACATTTTGCTCTGATCCTGTTCTTATCATTCTTTTGCCAACCATGCTTTTTGCCCCACTGCATAGAATAATACTCAACAGCTCTTTTAAACATCTTCTTAGTGTCAAACAATAAACCAACATATAATTTGGGGTCCTTCATATCCACATCTAGCTTGAACCTTGCATATTTCGGTTTCTTGCTGGAAGTATTTTCATCCGAGCTACTAGAGCAGCTACTAAACTCCTTTGTGTTTATGGAATCAGATTCCTCTTGGATAGAAATCTGGTCACCATCATAAATATCACAATCATGGTCAGCAGCAACACTTCCTTTTCCTTTTGCTTGTGCTTTGGCTTTTTGTGGCTGCTCTGAACCTTTCTTCTCTTCACCAGTGGCATTTTTCCCTCCATAACTAGCATCATATACACTCCTCTGACCATCAATTTCGATATCAGCAGTAATTGCACAATTCTTGTATATTATGTCATCTTCGTCTTTCCTAAACTCATAGTCACTATCATGAAACTTTCACCACTATCCGTTTCCTCTAATTCTGGTTCAATTTCATTATCTGCACCTTCATCTTTTTCAATCACATTAGCACCTCTCTGTTTACCCTTTTTTGTTTTTACCCAATCTACTTTAGTTACATCAACTAGAAGTTCTACAACTTCTTCATTCCCACAAAATTCATCAAATGTGATATCCACATACAGTAGATTTTTTTCCTCATTCTCACTGCCTCTCTCGAAAATTGCCATGTTGTTGTTAGGTTCTATGGATCTAACATGAAACTCTTGGACAATGTATAGTTCAACTTTTCCAGTTTGTATACCTATAGCAGCCATGTCCATGACGTCCTCTTCACTATCTATTTGTCTAACTCTCAGGCTCCCATCTATGGTAGGGATCCTATATCTATAGCTGGCGTTTTCATCACATCCAAGTAAATGACCAAAGCTTAACACAGAAGCTACGTTAACCTTGGAGGCTAGAACCCCATCAAAATGCTTCATGTTACTTCCCACATATTTTGGCTCTAGTTCTTCAATGTATGTCTCACCAGAGTAGATATACAGAGTGAATACATCCGAGTCATCACCTATTTTATTTTCCAAACAAATTAAAAAATTACTACCATAATTTGTAATTTACAGTCATTGTCTGCTTTTTGAGGGACATGAAAGCAACATGACAAATTAAATTTACAGCCATGGACCACATGAACCCCTTTTCAGAAAAAAAATGAAAACAGAAAACACAGCCCTTTTTCCAACCACATTTCAATCGATCTTGCTATTAAAGTACAATATTTGCTGTTCACAACAACATAAACCCACACCGAACATAGCAAATTAGATTTACAGCCATGCAAACCCATTTCAGAAAAAAAAGGAGGAACAGAAAACACAGCCTTTTTTCAACCACATTTCAATCGATCTTGCTATTAAAGTACAATATTTGTTGTTCACAACAACACAAACCCACACCGAAGATAATAAATTAGATTTATAGCCATGCAACCCCTTTTCAAGAAAAAAAAGGAAGAACAGAAAACAGAGCCCTTTTCCAACCACATTTCAATCGATCTTGCCATTAAAGTACAATATTTGCTGTTTAGGGCAAGACAAACCCACACCCAACTTCATTAAGCTATTACCACAACAAATCAAACAGATTTAAGTGGCTCAACTTACCCATTTTTCTTGGTCCTGTTTTTTAAAATTTCTTCTTTCGCGCCTTTCGTCACTTGCTCCCTTTTCAGATTCCTTCGACTTCCTGCGCCACTACATTTCCTTATTCATCACCATTTCAGTCAATTTCAGTTGATTTTTGCAAGATAAAGTTGAAGTTTCAGGTTTGGATTTTTGTCAGTGGTGATAAAAATTACACCATTAATTTTTGATTTTGATTTTTAATTATGAAGAGAAGCCCTAACAGTGAAGTACCAGAAATGCCCCCGCATAAGTGGTCAATTAGACGTTGAATCGCAATTACAAGGTGGCGCCGCCGCGGAGATCCTTAATTAGAACCGATAAATAAGTGTAGGATTTAAATTGGCCAAAAAAATTATATAAGGACTAAATTGACAGTAAAAAAAAGTATAAGGACTAAATTGACCATTTTCCCTTAGTTAATTAGTTAAACTATGCAGAAATAGTTAATTTAGTGTAATTTTTATTAACAAATGTTTTGTTGGATTTGATGAAAGTACTCATCACATTCATTTGGTAAAATTAAATCATGTCAGGGGTACTTTAATAAATTGACCCATTTTTGCCTATTAAATTGCCTCCAACTTTTGATAAGAGAGGTCAGTGTTATTTCAAAATTGATAGGGACGGTCAATGCTATTACTATAAAAGTCAGGGGAGGTTTCTGCAATTATCCCTTATAGCTACGGACAATGCCTTAGTTATACTGATACATGCCATGCGGGAATTTTTTTTTTTTTTTTTAACAAACGACATTTTTTCTTTTGTTGTTGTTTGGGGTGGGGGGGGTGGGGTGTTGGTTTAATGGCCGCTGCACATTGATTAGAATCTGACATTTGCATCATAATCGACACAAATTTGGGGGGGGGGGGGGGGGGCTCTCACCATTCTTAGGAATAATCTCACCATTTGCATCATAATCCAGACATTTGCCACCATTCTTTCGAATAACCTGGCCAATGACCCACTCCCCAGCACCAGCAGCCAAGAAGCTACAGGGCTTCTTCACCATTCCTTCTGGTTACCCTAGAATGGAAGTCCACGCAAAAGGAGGCCCCGGAGCCACACAATAGGCAATTATCCTGGATCCTATGAGCTCCTTGACCAGTAGCTTCACCATGGACTTTAGGGCTGTCCTTAGAGCCAGCAAATGTCCTAACCTGGGAGCCAATTTACTACATGGGCATGCATTGTGAAGTCCTACACCAGTTGGAACTTGTGCTATGGCTTCTAATCTACAGCTTCAACATCTGGAAGGGAAAAAAAAAGGGGAAAGACACTGATTTCACAAGTTACCGGAAATATTCATACATTCCATATTATACTTGACATAAAATGATAAAATTTCTAATCGACCATTTTTGTTTCATTGAACAGCCAGAACCCGACAGCAGCAGGCAGGGCAAACTTTGCTTCATTTGGCTTGACAGGTTAATTAAAATCAGCATCAAAAGCAAAACCCCGTTCTAAACTCATCATTTCAATGTCTGTCACACACCTGGTCCCAATCCCCTTCCCAGTAATCAACCTTCTTTCATTGAGGCATTTCCTAAAGTTTTTTTTGCACCTGTCATTCTCTAAGAACTAAGTTATGAAGGAGAGAAGCACTGGCTCATCTATTCCCAATCATCCTGCTGGCAAATCATCGCAAGGAAAGAGAAAATGTAAAGGTAATAAACTGAGCTACATTGACAGATTAAACGGAGTATGAGTTCAAATATTCCTAGATATGTCTGCTTCCAGTGGAAGAAATTATCTATAGCTACCAGAGTAGCATGTCTAATATAAATACATTCTGGAATTAATTCATGAATTTTGTGCCAATAGTTCAAAGTTTCTTCAGATTATGTTGGAGCAGGAAAAAGATACTACATCGTCGCCAATCTTGCGAGGTTGTAAATTCCAAAGAAAAGAGACTACACCAAATATACACTCCAGCAGTTGCATTAATGAAAAGGAGACATGAAGTGAGGATTTACTAATGCCGATAGAAGTAGCCCATTTGATTTATTATCGTGCATCGAGGTGGTTCAGAGAGAAGAGAGATGGTGGATGGGTGAAGACTTAGACGTAGCCACCATTGACGCGAATGATCTGACCATTAACCCACTCCCCAGCATCAGTAGCCAGGAATCCCACCAGCGGAGCCACGTCCTCTGTTTCGCCCAGTCTACCGAGCGGGCTCTCGTCCACAACCCTCTTGATCATCTCTTCTGTCTTCCCAGCAAAGAACATGTCCGTGGCGATAGGCCCTGGGGCCACGCAGTTGGCGGTTATACCGGTCCCCTTGAGCTCCTTGGCCAGTATCTTGACCATGGACTCCACGGCGGCTTTGGACCCCACATAGGCAGCGAAGCCGGGCCTCAAGGCGGCCACCATGGAGGTGGTCAAGCAGATGATCCTCCCTCCGCCGCCGCGCTTGATCCTGTTGGCAGCCTCCCTGCAGCACAAGAAGGCCCCCCTGGCGTTAACGTTGAAGATGTTGTCGAAGTCTTCCAGGGCGGTGTTGGCCAGGGTTGGGTACTTGGAGTCGAGTACACCAGCGGAATTGACGAGGATATGAACAGGGGAGCAGTTGAAGGCGGACTCGGCGGAGTCGAAGAGGGACTTGACCTGGGCTGGGTCGGAAATATCGGCTCTGACGGTGATGGCGCGTGAAGCAGAAGCAGAATTGATTTGGGAGGCTACGAGGTCGGCTTGAGCTGGGTTGGAGGAGTAGTTGATCACGAGGTTGGCTCCGAGAGAGGCAAGATGGAGGGCTATGGCCCGCCCAATTCCCCTGGAGCCGCCGGTGACGACGGCTACTCGGTCTTTGAGAGGGAGGGGGATGGAATCAGCCATGCTGCCGCCTGATCCTGACTCCCACTAACTGCTAAGTTGAAGTAGCGAAAATGGATTGGATGCCTTTGGTTTGATTTGGGGATTATTTATAGCTGGGGACATTGCCTTAGTTATACTGATACATGCCATGCGGGAAATTTTTTTTTTTTAATTTAAAACAAACGACATTTTGTGGTTTTTGGGTTGGGGGGGAGGGGGGGGTTGGTTGTTGGTTTAAGGGACCGCTGCACATTGATTAGAATCTGACATTTGCATCATAATCCACACAAATGGCGGCTCTCACCATTCTTACGAATAATCTGGCCAATGACCCACCCCCCAGCACCAGCAGCCAAGAAGCTACAGGGTTTCTTCACCATTCCTTCTGGTTACCCTAGAATGGAAGTCCACGCATAAGGAGGCCCCCGAGCCACACAGTAGGCAATTATCCTGGATCCTATGAGCTCCTTGACCGGTAGCTTCACCATGGACTTTAGGGCTGTCCTCAGAACCAGCAAATGTCCTAAGCTGGGAGCCAATTAAGCTACAGCCTATGGATGGGGATAAGCATCTGATGATTCCTCATCTGCGCCTTATCCTGTTGGCAGCCTCCCTGAATCATGAGAAGCCAACCCCTGCATTGACGCTGAACCTGCTTTCAAACTCTTTGATGGTGGTGTTTGCCAATAAGGGAAAGTTGGGGATGAAGAAGCTGACAGAGTGGATGAAACTATGAAGCAGGGAGCTTGAGCAGAGTGATGTACTTGATGACAAGCTCGGCCCCAAGTGAGCCTAGATTGAGGGCAATGGCCAGCCCTATTTCAAGAGAGCTTCCAGTTTACGATGTCTAACCAGTCTTACAGAGGAAGGATGGTGGCTTGCATGCTTCCTGTCTGATTGGTGGTGTTTGTGGTAATATTGGTTTGAACAGTAATCCTATTTTCAGCCATGGAAGGATTTGAGCAGAGAAGAAACTGACAGCTGGTTATATTCTTCCCAAGATTTGGTAGAAATACCAAAAAATAGACTCGGGAAGCTTTTGTCTTCATGTTTGGCATGTAAATATTTGCTTCCATCCCAGCTCAAATCAATGATATGTAGCACTATTAATCTTGGATCCAATAAACTCATATTGGACGGATATTGATTTATTGAACACCTCCTTCAGTTGACCTTCAACATTGAAATTAATTTGCTCTGCAGGATCAGACAGAGTTCTCATCCCATGTCTACTGCATCTGCCACCAGGAAAATACAAAAGAAATATAAATTTTCCAACCTTTCCATATTGATCAGCATATGCCAAAATATAGCACTGTAAAAATTTTATGTTAAATAGGATTTTTGGAGTCCAGATTCTATGACAATTTTCAATTTAAAACAGCACTATTAATTATGATACGTGAAGTCGATTAGGATATGCTTGTACTCACAAGGTTTTTTGTCCCCCTTCTTTTGGGGTAATCAATAAGCTAGTGTATTTGATATATTGACCAGTCAGGAAATGGGCTTCTATTGTTCATATGACCTCCAAAATTCAGTGTTTGTTTCTTCAATGCAAGTACAATTATGTGAGACACTGAGCACTACAAAAAAATACCTTGGCTATTCTGTTCCCCTATAATTACTAAGTCTTGAATTGTAATTGAATCAACAATCGAATAGAGAGGAGAAGATATCAGAACAATGTTTCTCCCCTCATACAATTATAAAACATCTATCTTGCATTATTATCTACAAGTGAGAATCTCACCTAAAAACTTGATTCCAGTTTGGCTTGTCCATATCTCCATGAAAGGACGCATAAAGACCAGGGTCCTCCTGGAAAAGAACACCACCAAATCAACATCGACATTTTCATAATGCCTCAGTACTCAAAACAACTTGGCAAGCACCTGATCATGTAGAAACCAAAGTGGATTGAGTTATGAGTGTGACAAGACTTGACCAAGGGCTTTACCTTTGAAAAGAGATACATAAAAGACACCATCACTGTGTAAGAAAGGACAATTGAAACTTAATGCTTGTGGCGTTCATCAGACTACGATTTCGTTAAATTAAAGACACACAAATAGCACAATTATCATTTAGCCAACTAACCACGAAAAGTAGCTCTTTGTAAGTGCTAAGAAGTTTCAAAACCAAAACCCAACACACACTAGAATTGACTGACACTATTCCAAGAGAAAGCTGTAAAACTAGATAATGCAAATTTGCCATGATCAAAAAGAGATAGGTTTAGGTAAAATAAAGGCCTAAAATAAATGCTGTTAAACTTTATCTGTATAATGGCTAAGCAGTACAAGTCTTAAAACAGTTTCAATCTGAAAAGCAAAAATAGAGATGGTTGAGGGCAGAAAGAAAATGGAGCCCCTTCTGCTGTCTCCTAATTCTACATGAAAGGGACAATGCAGTAGTGTACGGTCTCAAACATACTTCAATATGCCACAATGTGACAAGCACAAGTGGTTGTTCTTCTGTGCAGTGCAACCCATTCAAGTCAATATAGAAAAAACACCAAACTGAATGCTAGGTTGACAGGGTGTTAGTACTTGTACCATTATCAATCAGACAGCAAACTGCAACGAGATAAACCAGGAAAAGTGAAAGAACTAACCTAGTTAATTACAAGAAAAAGGTTTTGGGAGCAAAAATTTCCCAATCTCCTACTTTTGGTTCTTGAGCTGGAAGCATGATGATCCCCACTTGTGTTCACAACTTTCTAATATATCAAGCTACCAGTAATCTTTGCATGAACAAAGACCATCCTTAAAATGATGGAACCGGTATGTATCCCTTACAACAATAGTCCGATTTTCTACCTTTGAAACATACTTAATCCAATTATGGCAATCATTACAGACCCGAAGGTTTTTCATCACTCGTAATGGAATTGAATCAGACAAGCTCAGCAGTCCAAAGGCAATAGCCAACTTTTCGCTGTGGATCAATGCAGTTGGGTCTTTTTGACCAAGCTCCATGTCATTCCAAATGCTATATCGGTCCTGTATGTAACCCATTGCAGCAACCCTAACATTTAAATCCTCAAGAAACGCGTAGATCTGATCTGCAAGAGGATGGAGCTGATCACCGACGAAAAAGGCATGGAACGAGTTTTTAACTTCAATCCAGCTACGACCAGGCTCTTTCTTTACACCTCTGTCTTTCATCAGCTTCCTTGCATGATTGCGATAAACCCATTTCCCGGAAACCGCATACATATTGGATAGAAGAACGTAGGTAGCAGAGTCATTTGGCTCTAATCTCAAAAGATGTTTAGCCGCCAATTCTCCAATTTCCATGTTCTTGTGAACTGTGCAAGCACTTAAGAGTGTTCTCCAGACCATTGCATCTGGTTCAATTGGCATAGTCTCCACAAATTCTATTGCACGGGACAAATGACCTGCCCGTCCTAAAATATCTACAACACAAGCATAATGTTCTGATTTTGGCACCAGATCATGTTTTTCTCTCATGGACTTGAAATAGCTGAGCCCCTCATCCACCAAACCCACATGGCTACAGGCTGATAAAACTCCGATAAAAGTAACGTTATTTGGCCTCACATCCAGTTGTTTCATTTCCTCAAACTGTTCAATTGCTTCGGCGGCACATCCATGTTGAGAATAGGCCGTGATCATGGCATTCCAGGAAACTTCATTTTTCTGAGGCATTTCAAGAAACTCTCTTTTGGCATCATCAAGGCTCCCGGTCTTCGCATATAATGTGATCAACACATTTGAAGCTTCTATCTCAGCAATATACCCAGTTTTTATGATTTTGGCATGGATCTGCTTCCCTTGTTTTAAGTTTGTTGTATTAGCAGCTGCACTGACCACAGACCCATAAGTGAACATATTGGATTCTACTCCAGCTAGATTCATGTTAGAGAACGTGTATAGAGCTTCCTCCCAGTGCCTGCTTTGTGAAAAGCCTGATATCAATGCATTCCATGAGATGTTATCCTTATTTTTATTTTTGTCAAATGCCAAGTACGCATCCTGTACTTTGCCGCATCTAGCATAAAGGCTTATTAGTGCATTGCTAATTGACGGGTCCAAGGAATAGCCAGAGGTGATTGATTGTGCATGAATTTGTCGTCCTTGATTGATTGCTTGAAGTCCAGCACATGCACTAAGAGCACTTGCAAATCCTATATTATCTGATTGAATGCCCAAGTCTTGCATTTCTATGAAAAGTTTGAGGGCTTCCAAGAAAAGATCATGCTGAGTGTATCCAGCAATCATTGCTGTCCAAGAGACAATATCTTCCTCTGTGAGACGCCTGAGAATTTTCAGCCCAGTATCCAGATTTCCATGTTTTGTATACATATCAATAAGCACACTGCAGACATAAGCATTTTGGTAAAGTCCAGTTTTGATGACTTGACTGTGAATTTGCTCCCCTAAGTCAAGAGCTCCTACCAGAGTACAGGTTCTCAAGATACTTGGGTAGGTATATTGATTAGGCTGCAGGCCTCGACTCTGCATCTGTTCAAAAATCCTAACGGACTCGTTCAGATCACCTCTGAGACCATAAGCCACCAGCATCACATTCCAGAGAACCACATTATCTTTCTGTGTTGTGAGGAAGAATCTATGAGCTGATTCAACATCAGAACATTTGACATAAAGGTCAAGCAGAGAACCTTCAATGATGATATCTGAACACATTCCAGCCTTAAGCGCATGAGAGTGCAGTTGTCTTCCCTTCAGAAGAGCTCCCATTGATGCGCAAGCGCTCAAAAGGCTTGAAATTGTAACACAGTCAGGCTTCAAGGAGTCAATCTGCATTTTCCTGAATAACTCAACTGACCTCTCATTATTTCCTTGTTGAACAAGTCCTGATATAAGTGAATTATACGAGACCCTATCCATCTGCTGCATTTTGCTGAAAATTTGTTCAGCAGGCATGGGGTGACCGAAGCGAGAATATAAGGTGACGAGAGCATTACACACATAAACCTCTGATGCAAATCCCCACTTATAGACAAGAGCATGAAGCTGCAATCCCAGGTCATAAAACTCTATCTTGGAGCATGCACTTATAACACATGAGAAAATATATGGAGTAGGGTTGATTCCTGATATGCGCATCTCATTATAGAGGATGATACTGTCTTCTTCACGCCCATTGTTAGAGAAACCAGATATCATGGCAACCCAAGATACACTGTCCCTTAAGAACATATTCTGGAAGATTTGCTTAGCAGAATTGATGAACCCATTCTTCGAGTACAAGTCAATAAGAGGGTTACAAACAACTGTAGCTGCACCAAAACCGTATTGGATGACCTTAGCATGTATGTGTTCAACGTATTGAAAAGTGACTTTGCCAGCACCGCAGGCCCTCAAAACACTAGCCAATGTCCATTCATCCGGCATAACATTATCTGCAACCAAACGCGAAAGGAGTCTAAAAACTTGATTGTTCAATTTTTTCCCAAGAAAACCAGCTATCAATGTATTCCAAGAGGACAGGTTTTTAGAGGGAAAATCATCAAACGTCTGCAAAGCAGAAAATAGATCTCCACAAGCAACATAAACATCAAGGAGCCGACACTGGAAGTCGTGGTCTTGACTGAAACCCAACTTAAAGATCTTTCCTTGAAGCTTTCTGGTATGGATTAAGGACCCAATGTTCATACTATAACATTCATTTACAAGCTCGATATAGGTCTTAGAATAAACGGCAGGAAGATCAACTGAGTCCGCTGCATTTCCTTTTTCAACAGATAAATCATCCAAAGCTCGTGCAGCCGCAATATTACTAAAAGCAGCAAACTTTAACCGAATAGAGTTCTTCCTACAAGAGCTCTGTAAAATTTGACTAGTAAGTGGACTAAGATCTTGCCAAAGAACAGCAATAAAGTAGCATATTGCATATAAAAAGTTTTTTTTTTTTTTAAAGATAAAAGGAGTGAATGAAGAAAAATGGAATAGTTGGGAGTAGCTTAGCGACCTTTGGGAAGTGATGACGAACGAGCAGAGAATAGGGGCACAGCCCACCAAACTTTATTAGGTTTGAAATCATATGACTCCTTACTAATGATAATTGTAGATGGTGATTGGCGAGGAGGACAATAGAGAGAAATTGGGGAGGGTGGGGTGGGAGCAGAGAGACTTTGTTTGAAGTAGAAGGCGGCCGCTATTGTTGCTGCTATGGAGTTGCGGCTGTTTGGGTGGAATCAGCGAGAGAGAGAGAGAGACAAAAGCAGGGGAAGGGGGCAACCTTGCAGCCTTGGACGGCGGTGAGTGGTTGTTGGGAGGCTGCTGCCGCCACTGCTGTGAGCGGTCGGTAAGCCCCTTGTGGCTAATTTGACGGGCAAAAAAGCGCCTCCTGACAGGTTGCCGTGCTGAGTTAGCACGGCAGCGACAGAAATTTTTGAATTTTAAATGGCGTCGTAGCAGATTTTTGATAGTAGCCGTTGATCAATGGCTAGATCGACGGCTAGCAGCTTCTCATGTATTGTAAAACCCGCTGAAAACCCTCAACTCTCTGATTTCTACCACATTTCTCTCATCTCTCCCTCTCTCTCAACCCTCTCAATTCTCATTCTCTCTCGTTCGCACAATGGAAAGGAAAATAGGAGCAGACCTCCGCCGCCGTGTTTCCAGGTCCTGACAACCACCAGGCAGATGATCTTTTTAAGCACAGCTAAAGAAGAAGTAAGGGGAACACTTTTTTATTCTTTTAATCAATTATTGTTTGTGTGTACTTTTTTTTTTGGTTAATAAAAATGCATTAAAAATAAAATCAAGTCAACAGAGTGCAAATTAAGGTTACTTTGTTTTTTGTGTGTACTTTATTTTGCTGTATTATATTAAGTTTCATAATATTAAGTTTTGTTAATTGGCCATGTGATTAAACAGATTAGTTAGTTACCAATTTAATGGGTTAAACATAGGATTAAGAATAAATTAATTTAGGTATCATTGATATAGTTTCGACCTGTAATCAATGTAATTAATTAGGTGTAATTAATAATTTAAATAAGTGTAATCAATGTAGTTAATCATTTAAATAGGTGAAAAAATAATAATTTAGATAAGTATAATTAATCGTAGCTAATAATTTAAATACGTGTAATTAATGTAGTTTTTTAGCATGTTAGTCTTTGTTGATGGTGAGATGTATTAAACTAATGTTGTGCTATATTAGGGAGAACATGTCGAGCAACAATTCCTTGGTGATTCATCTTTATTGGGGAGGAAAAATTGTGTATGTTGGAGGATCAATGTCATATGATCCGCCTGTGCCGAAAAAAGTTATGTTCCTCAGAGAAAGAGCAGGTTTTGATGAACTGGTGGACAGAGCGTACAACATTACGAATCTAGACCGGAATAAGTATAAGATTAGTTTGATATTTCGGACTTGCCTGCATTATGGCGTGTTTGGTGCAATGCCTTTGATGGATGATAATGGAGTCGACGGAATGTACTTTTTGAAAGCTAACAGTGGACATGCCACCGAGATCTACATGGAGGTGGAGGAGCTCTTAAGCTCGGGACGACATGATACTCAAACTTTGCAAATTGCAAATCCTCGTACTGATGGAGGCACTAGTGTATGTGGAAAGGAACCAATGAATACAGGCGGGACAGCTAGCTTATTTAAAAGTCAGTCGACCCAGTTGGATTCTGGAGATGCCCAACCGACTCGGAGAGGATGCAGACGGCGGCACCAAGTTGAGACGGATCGTCCAAGCGGCAGTCGGCAGGCAGAACGCATGTCAATAGTTGAGCCTCGCGATTTGGAGACTACTGCAGCTACAGTGTTCGAGCCCACGACAAATACTGACGTTGAATTTGTAGATGTGGACGTGGATTCCGAACCGGAACCAGATGCCGATGATGACCACAACTATGATGCATCTGAGCAGAGAAGTAAGTCAGGCGAAGGTGGTATCAGCCTCATACACGTTGAGCCTAGTGCACCATGTACCATTGATGTAACGCCACAATTGCGGTATGAAGCCGGTGTTGATGCTACATTACGATTTGATCCTCTGGATGTGAGAGGAGGTGTTGAGAAGCTCAAATTTTGGAACGAGCACGCGAAGGAGCTACAATTGGGGCACCTATTTCATACCAAAGAACATGTAAAGCGGGCAGTGAAGTTGTGGTCTATAAAGAAAAATAGAGAGTATAAAGTCCGAGAGAGCACGCCAACAACATGGTATGTCCGATGCAAGGCTCGCAACTCCACACCTTCGTGTAACTGGCAGTTGAGAGCAACCTTACGTAGTTCCCATAAGCTGTGGATGATTGTTACTCTTGCAGATGAACATACATGTGTCCGTCCGTGCAACGGCAGTGACCACCGACACTTGAGCGAGGATATAATTGCCGAGTACATTATCCCCCACGTCATCAATGATCCATTTTTCAAAGTTAAGAAAATCCAAACAATGGTGAAAAAGGAGCTCCACTGCAATGTGTCGTACAAGAAAGCTTGGTCTGCTCGGCGCAGGGCTATGAATATTATAAACGGTGATTGACCAGCATCCGTACCGTAGCCGCCAGCCAACGTACGTGCAGGAGTTCCAATGATTCAACACAAGCATGTCAAAGGACAGGGGCTAAGACAGAAAACTCATTCTCAGGAGGTTTGGGGGGTCTTTACTTCTTAGCAGCGGGGCACCCTGTGTGATTTTCTATCCCACATCGGAAATGGGGGGGTTGGGTTAGTGTATATAAGTCCCCTGGACGTCTTCAAAAGTTGTCGGCTTTTGAAGATTGTTCAGGGTTTATAAACATAAAAGTCTGAGTTTCCTCAGCTTTGGTAAAAAAGACGGGGGCTAAGAGATTTTTGTTACTCGACAACACCTTGTGATAAAGGCAAAAGAAGCGTGTGCATCCTTAAATTGCCATTTCCTGGACATTTTTTACACTAATAAAAAAGTATAATAATTAGATGAATAATTTAAATTAGATAATTTACGTAATTTAAGGTTATCCAAAAAAATTAAAAGAAAAACTCGCACTCTATCAAAACTAAGAGATTTTACTGCAAAAAACTAACAAACTATGGGAGAGCCCCTCATTTTTTTTAAAAAAAAAAATTGCATTTTATGGGCTCTTAATTTATATTACGTAAAATCTATTTCAACACCGCAGACATTAAAAATAAAAAAAATTTCAAATTCTTCAGAGACATGGCGAGCTCTCATTCTTTTTTTTAAAAAAAACTATTGTTGAAAAAAATCATTTGGATCATCGTGTTTCATAAGCACGACAGACATATAATAGGATCTTGCCTTTTTGTTTTTCACCCATATTCTAAGAAATTAGCAGCCCCTTGTGGAATTAGCCGCTCTTTTACTTTGTTTATTTCTTAGAATGTCAAAAATTTGGATGCCAATAGTTGCAATCACTTTCTCCTGTGGAATTAGCCGCTCTTTTTTTTTTTTGGGCAAGCAATTTATTTCATATGAATTTTGATTAACAGCTTAGAAACTACTGTAGTTAATAGAAGAAAATTTATCATCTCCAGACCCTTTGTTTGTTATGTGAATTATAGGTGCTTGTTACCTAATTTTAATGTCTTAAATTTTGCAGCTGAGATTTCGAGACCTTTTATCTGTAGGATTTCGACGGCATTGATCAGCAACAACATACAATCAACAAGACAAGCGAGTGGCCATATCCACACTCTTAAACACCAGTATGACATTGAAATCCTTAACATTTAATACATTTCCTTCTGTCCTGCAATTCCGAACAATTGGTTTCAAACAATTACAAGCAATTTGCCTGGCAAATACTGCAGAGTTCCTGTCTCTGCATGGAATAAGCTACCAGGAAGAGCAGTAAGCAAGTAACGACGTGCCATTGCCACCACTTTTATGTCAAATTAGACCATTTGGTGGATTACTGGTATTTCCTCAAGATCACTTGCAAATCTTTTGCAATCTCCATCACAAAGAGGGTCGAGATGGCTTCGCTTGGAAAAGTTGATCCGTTCTGGGAATCCCGTGACAAACAACAGATCATGGTACAAATCGCACGGAACTCTAAAGCGCTATAAAGCATCTGGATCACATCACTTAGAAGCACTTGATGATCATCACATCAAGCACGAGCTTAGAACAGACAATTATTGTTTGCTGCACACTAGTTAGCGTCCCTGAAACCCCATGTGCCTGTTTTTTGCCATAGAAGGTAGCCATCTCTCCCCCCTAACCTTTTTCAAACCTGTCACTCGCTCTTCCTCTCTTTTAGCAGCTGCCTTAGCTGCTGCTTCTCTAGCTTCCAATTTTGCCAATGCTTTCTGGCCTGCATCTCTTGCTGCAGCTAAAATATCCATCCCATCAACAGCAACAGACTGGAGTTGCCGTTTAAACTGCAAACAAGCCCAAAGGATATAAGGCCAGTAAGTTCTGAAAAAGCATACACTTATACACACCTTTTTTTGGGTTTTTTGGTCGGGGAGGGGGGTGTTTCTAAGCATACCTTCTTTGACTTCTCGTCAATCTCTTCTCCAGGAAGTATTCTTGGTTTCTTATTTGGTGGTTGAACTTCATCTGAAAAATGGTAAATGTTGCTTTTATATCCCTAGGCAATGCAGAAGAGAACGCATAAGAAGTAGACACCAAAAAATGGTTCAACAATCGTCCAAGTTCAGATCCCGCAAAGTACAAGATTTAGAAGGTGCACTTCTGCTGAAAATGCTTCCCCTCACAACAAATTCCTTGATTAAGTTGCATCTCAACCATCCACAATGGATGAAACCAAATGCAAATTGGACCTGTTTCCTACTGGCGATTCTATATGTCCAGATGTTTGCTGCATAGATGTTTCAGCAACCAAAAGATTTGCTCCATCAAGGTATCTTAGAGATATCCATGGAAATTTTCATTCCAGGATGAATTTATTTCTCTGGTACCAAGTAATTGACCTAACTGCCTGAAGCAACTTCCACGAACAAACAATCTTATAAGAAATGCAAGATTAGCACATCAACTGATCAGTCTAACCATTACTTACAAATATAAGTGGCACAGAAAACGTAAACGCAAAACCATTACGGAGCACCAAACAAGTGGCTGGGGTTGCGGCAGTAGCAATTTCACTTGGACAGAGAAAGTAAATCAAATTGCAATTTGTTGTTCTGAAAGAATTCTGAAAATCAAGATGTTTGATAAAGTTCACTCACCAATGTGATCAAACACAATTCCACTGGGAGCATGCTTAAATAGCTGAATTCCACCACCACTATTTGCTGCATCCTCATCCGGAAAAAGATCTGTGCTACTCACTACTTCTATGGTCTTCTCCATAATATCGTGCAAAATTTTCTGGGCCTGTCATGTAATGAAATTTGATTAGAGAAATAAAAAAATATGGCAGCAACAAAAAAGAAAAGGTCAATTTCAATATCACGAACAATAATGGTCATATGCAGCTCAAGCTACTGTGGTAAAGATATCATTGCTCATTTTTTCTCCAACATCAAGAACACATCTCAAATTTCAAAAAAAGTATGGAGTAAATGATTCTAGCCTGTAGGACAAAATTAAAGGGGAGATCTTGCCTACTAGTTATAGTGGGAGAATGGGAGGATACCACAGTTGCGACCAGTACCTGTGAATGGTAAGTTGGGAGAAAAGAGAAAAAGAAGGGGATTTAGGGGGAGAAGAACAAACAACTACCAGAGAAAAAATCAATTCTTATTCATCAATCTGTCTGCCTAGAATAACATAGAAACACAAGTATTCGCAAGCTATAAACAGTACAAAAGCTCCTATTTCCAATTCCAAAGAGGAAAGCACACTAATTATTAAACTTTAATATAACAATGACTCGAATTAGTTAACAAAAATAATAAGGAACTAAATTTATTCAGTGACGTATTTGCCAGATACTAGCTGCGAACAAGTAGAAGGCCAAAAAAATCCTTAAGACCCAAAATTTTAGAAAGTACTATATCTCAGAATATATAATTATGATAAACAAAGACACTCAATTGACACTCAATTGATGTAATCTTGAACTTAAACAAAGACACTCAATTGATGTATTCTTGCTCAGCTTATCTTCACATGATGATTAATTTAAGGTTGAGGAAATCATAAAAATCTTAAATTTCAGATTTACTTGAGCTCTTGGTTGACTGCATAAATAAACTTTTCAATTGCTACTGAAAGGCAGAAAAGAAAGAAGAAGTGGATTTAGTCAAAATCCATTTCCATATACAGTATCTACTCAGAGAAAAGCCACGACAAGAGAGCATTATTCACTCATTAAAGGTAATACTCATAAGTTCAACTTTCTTTGCCATTCTATATAGATGAACAACCTTTCGGTCCAAAATTTATAATATAATTGAGCTAAACCTTAATCTTGACAAATAAGTTCCATGCTTCTACTTTTAAAGTTATAAATTTTCCATCCTAGGGCATAGCCAAATGTTTAAGCTACTCCTAATCCCCTCATTTGGTCAGCAAACATGAAAACTAGAAATGCATACAAGATGGAGAAAGAAAAAATTGGATTAACGAGGCAATACCGGTGAATAGAAGGGGATTTTTAACATGGCATCCTTTCTGAAAAATGAAAAATGATGGATACATCCCTTCTGGAAAATGATAAATGATGGATAGGACATAGATTTGCGAATGCAATATGACTGAAACCGGGCTTGCACAATCACATCTACCAAACAAAAATTTTCATCAAAACATCAGGAATGGAAGTGATCTTTTATATCTAAAATCCTAATTCTGAAATGAAGACGTCTAACAGTCAATTGTCTCTAGTATAGACGGTTGACAATATTATGCTTTGATTACTTAGTGTAACCATTAGGCATGTATTAAGTAATAATGTTGGAAAAATGACGGGAAAGAAGTATCCGAATAAAGAACTAAAAGAACCAAACTTTAAGCATGCAAGTTACGTCAGGAGATTTTTTTTAGATGTAAGCAAGCAAAGGTATCCTCTTTTTGCATTTAGCCGTTTTAAAAGGACCCAAGAGTTCAAGGACAATTTCGTTTGGGAGTGAAGGATTTGGATAGAAAAGAAGGGAAAAGAAGAGAAAGTTCACTTTTCCTTTATTTGTTAGTTTTTAGGAGAAAAGAAAAGAAGGGAAATGGAAGGATTTGAGAGGATGAATAGTAGGCAAAATTTTTCCTCCCAAATTGGAGAGAAATGGAGAGAAAGTTGAAAGAAACTTGTGAAAACTTTTTAAAATACCTATTTTGTCCTTAAAAATGTCTTGAACAAATATTTAATGAATTTCATATCCAAAATCATTTCACTAATTTTCAAAACTCCCAAACAACGTGACAATCCCTTCTCTTCTCTTCTCTTCTCTCGTAACTTAAAGTTTTCCCTTCTTCTCTTTTCTATCCTAAACCCCCAAACTTAGCCAAAGTTTTGTGCTTTTCACAAAATGCATAAGCAGCAGCAATCAATGTCTCACATATGTTTGAAGTTTCCAGTAGAAACCTCAAAATCAAAGCTAAAAACTACGTAAAACCAACGTTTCAATGCTCAAGTCCTCAACGGGCACAGAAAACTCAAGCTGAAACTAACAAACACCAGTAGCAGAAAGTTTCCTTGGCATAGTGAAACATAAGTTGGACATTCAACTTCACTTTTCCCTGAATTAGAAATTAAAAAAGCAGTAATACCCTACCACATTAAGCAATCACACAATAAAACCAACCAAAAGTATCTGAATTTTGATAAATTTCAGAAGTAAAACTAACTGGTAAAGAGAAGAACAACCAGACAAAGTATAAAAGCATAAAAACTTGAAGAGAATAGTAAGTACTACCTTGAGTTGATAATGTTTGAGGTTGTGGGATTTAGGGTTGTCAACTTCTTGATGATGAGGAGTAGAGGAACTGAGTGGAGCAGGAGCAGTGGCAGGAGCAAAAGCAGTGGCGGCAGCAACAGAAACCGAATGAATGGCGGCCTTCCACTCGGCATCTCCATCTTCCTCTCCGCTACTACTGCTGCTGCTCATCCCTGCTGTTGTATGGCTGTAGCCTTACTTCTTCTTCTTCTTCTGCCCCAATAAAAAGTTCCAATTGCTGGGCCAAATGCGGATGGGTCATGGGAAAAAGTTTAGAGGGGCACTTGTAAATTATATTAACTTCGAGGGAGCTAAAGGTTTTCCTTTTTTTGCTTTATGTTTTTAAGGGGACCAAAGCGCGGCGGGAAAGAGCATCAAAAATAGAGGCGTTCCTTTGTAGTAGTCCTACTCCTATACCCTACACGCCCACACACTCACAAAATCCATCGGAGAAAATGGCGTTGTCGTATCCACAGCCAGGCTCCGTCACCATCTGCGAAATCAATAGAGACCTCAGTTCTGTTCTGTAACATCTCCGCCCCCCTTCCCCCCAACGCAAAAAAAAAAAAAAAAAAAAATCCCTTTTCTTTTACAAACTCGCTACTGACTCTCTCATTTTATTGATGATATCCCCATTTTGCTTTAATTGTATAAATTGGAGTGATGATTTGTTGATTCTAAAATGTATAAATTACTGCAGTTACTGCCGACAACCTGTCCGATGATCGGGCCGAAGAAACCTATGCCAAAATTCTTGTTAGACCCTCCTCCTCCTCCATTTTATTTATATACACAAAAGTTTTCTGCTTGCTTCATTTCAAAACCAAGTAAGAGTTTTTTCTGATGAGTAGAATACTCCGTGTATATATTGCAGGGGACTGTTTTCAGTCCGGTTCCATTTCAATACGAGACTCTATTGACGGTGGAGGAGCAGGAAGTTGCTGCTGCTGCCCAAACTAAAGGTGGATTGCTGTCGGCTGCACTGCAGGCCGTCTCCACTGCTTCTCTCCGACCCCTTTTCCTCCTTACTCCTCCTGTGAGTTTTTTTTTATGAGCTTTGGACTGCTACCAACTTCCGTTCTAAGATATCAAGATTTGGCCCTTGTATATCTCCTTAGGTTTTTCTTCCATTTTGAGGAACTTCCGAAAGGGTTTATTTCTTCCTTGCTGTCTATCATTCCTGTTGACTTGTTCCGGGGAGCTCAACAAAAGCTCAAAAGAGCTCCCAGATTTTAGAATTAGCCTTCCGACACTAGGATCACCCATGTAATAATATTACACCTGTGCTATCTTTATAGTGCGGTAGGAGAGGATTGGGGTTGCAGCATGTGTGTTGGGAGAGGGGATAGGGGAGAAGGGGGCAAGGCAAGCAAAATGAGTGGTATATTAGCTACCTCTCCAACAATCTGAAAAGCAGATGATTCGTATCTTTTCCCATTCTTTGATTCATTTTAGAACCGGTTTAACTATACCTACTTCTCAGATCCACTGCACTTTACATAATGACAATAATCAGAACGCCTTTTTGGTTAGCTTTCAATTCTATTCGCTTCCATGGTAACACGTCTTATTCTTAACCACTTTTATTTCCTTGTCATTCTTTGTTGGTGTTATCATGAAACTTAGAAGCATTGGTTCAAGCTTTCAGTTTTAGGCTGCTCTGGATTGGAATATAAATTATCTCAAGTTTCCACTTTTCTTTTTTGTTTTAATATCAGAAACTAAAAAATGTTACGTTTTAGATTTTCACTAGAGTAGAAGAGAAGTTGGAAAGATTCCTCATTTTTTTCTCACATTTTCTTTTAGGTAAAATTGTTGCAAGATGTTGATCTCTATGGCCTGAGCTGGCACCAACACAAAAATATTTTGGCTTTTGTTTCTGGCCCAAATCATGTGACAATTCGCGATTATGAGGATTCAGGTTGCTGGCATATTATCTTACTTTATTTTGTATTCCATTTATCATCTTTAGATTTCTATCCCATATCAGATAGTTTTAGGTTCTGAGTTCAGTTGAAGCCTTGTAATTTATTTTTATTTCTTAAACATGTATTTCCCTGTCTCTATCAGATGGTAAGGATCCTTGTGTTCTGATAAATGAATCCCAAAAACAAGTTAAAAGTCTTGAGTGGCGGCCTAATGGTGGGAGGATGCTTTCTGTGGCATGCAAGTAAGCATCTTGCTTTATGCCAATCTCCGCACTTTGAACAGCTCTTTATTATCATGCAAATGCTACTTAAGTTTCACTGAAAGCTTTAGCTTGGACAAAGTTTTGATTCTTGGGTGATCAGGGGTGGGATTTGCATTTGGGCTGCTTCATATCCTGGTAATCCAGCTTTGGTTAGAGGTGGAGTTACTTCAAGCACCCTTTCGAGAGGCTCTGGGACTAGATGGACTCTGGTGGATTTCCTTCAAAGTCATGATGGTGAACAAATAAGTTCCCTGTCATGGAGTCCTGATGGAAGATATCCGAAAAATTTTCTATTTCCTTTGTTGTGGCTTTTGTCAATTGAGCATCAGTTTTTCACTCTATGATAACATATTGCTGAATTCGCAGCACCTGAATGAACTTTTTTATTTCTTTACTTCGATGGCTTCCTTTCGCTTTTTAACATTTTCATCATGTCATCAACAACTTGTTAAGTTCTTCTAGGTAGTAAATACCATTTCTCTGGTACATGGAAACATCTAACTCTTCACATTGCATGAAAATGGAGCTCTTTGTTAATCACATCTTTGATAAGCCCTCATTTCAGAATCTTCCCATGTGTACCAGGAAACTGGTACAGATAAAGGCATTTAGCATCTGCTGAACCTTTTTGACTATATCATAAAGACTACACTAAGGAAAGTGGTGTTTTCTCTTTTTCTTTGTTGTCTTTATCAGGCTGTTTACAATCGAAATTTTATCAGTGTAGACCCTATACCAGCGTCACCTGTGTAACAGCATATGCTTGGTGAATAAACTCTCAATCGCTTACCATTTCAACCTTGTCCTTTCAGTAGGATGCAACCAATTTAGAATATCTTCTTTGGTGTTTTCTGTTGAGGACGTGAACCTTGTTTCATGAATCTTTAGACAATTCCTTTGAGAAGATGAACTGAGAATTTCATATTTCATCACGAATCTTGCTTTACCTCCCCACAAGTAACTGGAGTACTGCTCTCAATCTTACTCACAAATTATATCGTCTTTATAACCCTCTCTCTCTCTCTCTGGTTATTTCTAAAATACTCAACAGTATAAATGCCTTGAGAACAAATGCCACTAATCCTACATAAGAAGGAGATTAAGGAAGTGACATTACAATTGGGGTTCAATAGACTTTTTAAGAATTTAATTAATCTCTCATTTGGCACCTGATACATTGGACTTGTTAAGATGAACTAAAATGCAACTATATTTTTCTAGAAGTATTTGGTTAGTTGAGTTTTGAATTTTCTTGACTTTCATTTACATATTTGGCATCAGCTTCATTTGAGAATTCATCATTCACCATTTGGGATGTTGCTCAAGGTATAGTAATTTTGCCTCTCCTTGCTTAATGTCATAATTTTGTTTCTGAAGTCCACAAATGGTATTAGCTGGTGTTCTTTTCCATTTTGGGTTGAAAAACAAAGTCAATATTGGATTTAATCTGCATGGCATTTTTGTCCTATTACCAAATTCTTCAAGGTTTACTCCATTAAATACATGTCATGCCTCTTTGATACTAGGGTGTTTGGTAAAATTGAAATTTGAAGTCTGAAATTTAAGTACTGAAGTCATAATCTGCGGAATTCATAAAGTTTTATTTGTTTGATAACCAGCTGAATTTCAGCACTGAATTGAATGTTGTATTCCATGTATATTATATATTTGATAACAATATTATGTTTTATCTTAAATTAAATTGTTGTTTTAAAAATAATCTTATAGTACTAATAAATTGTAATCCATATAAAGAATGTGTGTGTGTGTTATAGATGGAGAGTATGTTTTTATGTGTAAAAATGTGTCTGAGAAAGAAAAATATGTATTTTGTGTTTCATGCAAGAGATTTAGTTTGAAAATGTGTATTAGAGAAGAAAATGTTGTTTGTGTGTCTGTGAGTGACAGGGGGGGGGGGGCGATGTGCATATGTATGTTTACAAGTGTGTGCGTGACGGGGACAAAAATATTATGTGTGTATGTCTGCAATTGTATGGGTGTGTGAAATAATAATTTGGAGTATTTGTACACGAGTATAATTCAGCAAATTAAGTGAGAGAACTTTCACTTAGGATTTTGTATACAAACTAGGTGGATCCTACTGTATTTAGAAGTCAGGGATCAAACAACCTTAATACAAAAAGAACTTAATTTATTTAAATTTTAAGTACTTAATGGGGTTACCAAACACCCACTTAGCTATTGCCATGTTGCAATCAAGAAATCTGTTTAGGTTATATTAGGCAGAGCTCTTTAAGATCGCCAGGTAAGCACATGGAATTGGAGAAACTTTTCTTTTGCATTTGTGCATATTTATCTACTGGTGACATGCAGAAATAAGGCCTAGAAAACTTGTCTAATCAGAATATAAGAAATGTTGCTAATTGCTTCAATTATAGAACGTTCAAATAAAGGGATCTCAGGGGATGTGGTGGTGCATAATTTCTCCTTTTCTTTATACTGGATGGCTTTGAAGTAGGGGTGTGCAAAGTCGAAAAATTTCGATTTACCGACCGATTTCGAATTGAATTCGGAATTTCGAATTCGGAATTTCGGTAATTCGAAATGAAATTCGGTAATTTCGATTTCGAATTGGTCGAAATCGGGTCGAATTCGAAAATATAATTTTTGAAATCGGAATTACCGAATTCGAAATCGGAACTATGATTTCGATTTCGAATAATAATAGTTATATATAATATAATATAATATTTTTTAACAATACATAAATAATATATATTATATAACAACAATTAACAAAAACAAACGTACAAAAGAAAAAAAAAAGAAAAGAAAGAAGGGAAACACCACATTCACATTCACACGCACAAATACACGCAGAGACCCAGGAATCCTAACCAAAAACATTCTCTT